TCTCCCGTCCTGTGAGACTCAGGATGAAGGTTATCTCTTTTGGAAGACATCATCAACTCCTCTCTGACGGACTCCCACAACCTCCATCACCCTTGGCTAATACCTCCATTGATTCATCCTCCAACACTTAATGAGCCCTTGCTGCTATACCACCAGCAGCACTGCCTCTCTTGAGCACACATCCAATCGCAGGCTCAGTTCCACGTTCTTCCCATGTAGGAGCTACATTTAAGCAACTCTTAGGCAGGAGGTACTACTCTCACCTCCAATAACTGGCAGGCTAAGGGATCTGCCCACACAGCGGGGAGGAGGTGGACGCCGAGTTCTGAATCCAGTACAAGCTCAGAACCAGGAGTGCAGTGGTCAAGAAGGGGACCTTCCTCATAAGGGCCCCACATTCATGCCCATAAAGCATAATTATTAGTTAGCTTTTTTATTTTATTTTATTTTATTTTATCTTTATTGTTGAGGGTATTACAAATGTCTTCCCTTTTTTGCCTCCTTGCCCCACACCCACCACCTGGTACCCACCCAGCCCCTGGCCTTCACCACCCTGCTGTCTGTATTCGTGGGCAGTGCGTATAAACATATAAGTTCTTTTTAGTTAGCTTCTTAAAATTATCGACTTGCATGGCTGGATACCTCACTGGACCATGAATTCCCTAAGCCCAGCCCCTATGTTTATCTTTGTAAAACAGAAATCTATTGTAGATTATAGTATATTAAAGTTAAGGAACATAAATTAAAATCCCAATAGTTAATCTTTAGAGATACTTTATACAGCAGAGAGAAAATTCCATCAAATCTCACTATTTTTTCCCCCAAAAAAGTAATGGAATTCATAAATGAATAAACAATCCAAACCACTGCAGCAACTAATAAAAGCTCTCCAATTTTCATAATAAAACAGAAACCTATTGTAGATTTTGGACAAAATGGAGTCTCAAATATTCTTAAAAGAATGACTAAAAGGTCACTCCCTTTTATATGGCTAATTATATTAATAAAATATTTCAAATACTCATTAGACCATGACAATTACATAAAAATGAATCCAATTGGTCTGTTGTTTTAGGTACACACTGAATGAAACAAGAGGATCTAAAATGGAAGCAGCCTGAGATCCTTTCATATGTATATTCACCATTTGTATATTTTTTCTGTGACTTTTCATATACTTCAGGTATTTTTATAACCTTTTTGTTGTTTTATAGGAATACTAGAGGCTGGGTGCACAAAATTCTTGCACGGGTAGGGTGCCTAGGCCTGGCTGCCATCAGGGCCAATCAGGGCCTTCCAGCTGCCAGCCGGGGCCTTCCTTCACTCTGCGCCACCCCCTGGTGGTCAGCACACATCATAATGAGCAACAGAACTCCTGGTCTCCCAGTCAAACTCCCTTGGAGACACTTTGCATATTAGCCATATACAGTCTGGAAAAGAATAGTGCTGGAAATAGCTATTAAAAAAAAAAAAAAGTAACTTCCACACTTTCTGGTTTGGCTCAGTGGATAGAGCACTGACCTACAGACTGAAGGGTCCCAGGTTCAATTCTGGGGAAGGGCACACGGCCGGGTTGCGAGCTTGATCCCCAGTGTGGCGCATGCAGGAGGCAGCCAATCAATGATTCTCTCTCATCACTGATGTTTCTATCTCTCTCTCTACCCCTCCATTCCTCTCTGAAATCAATAAAAAAAATTTTAAAAAGAAAGTAACTTCCCTCTGATGGAGAACTCCTCATTACTATCAGGGCTTTTAGTTCAGCTGTTCAAAATAGAATTCTTTTTCCAAAGTTTTCAAGTTTTTCAGTTTGATTAACATAATGCCTCTAAAACTTTGGCAACATCCTGACTTAGAGTCTGTGCCACTGACATTCTTAAAACTATATTAATTCCTGCCAAAATTCACGCCGTGAATCTAACTTTGAGACATCAGACAAACACAAGTTGAGGGACAAGCTGCAAAGTAACTGGACTAAAACTGGCCAGTCCTTTTCAAAAACGCCGTCATAGAGCTATGCCAGGCTGGAGGGTGAAGGAGAGAGAGAGGGCATGTAAATGCAATGGGCAGCTCTGGATTGGTTCCTGGACCAAGAAAAAAATGCTGCAGCCCTGGCCGGGTAGCTCAGCTGATTAGTGTCACCCCAATATGCCAAGGTTACGGGTTTGATCCCCAGTCAGGGCACATACAAGAATCAACCAATGAGTGTATAAACAACAAATAAGTGTAATCAATGTCCCCCCCCGCCACCACCCACTTCCTCCCTCCTTTCTTCTCTTTCTAAAAAATATGAATTAAAAATGTTTTTAAAGAAAATACAATCTTGTCATTTGAAATTAAATACAAAATGCATGTTCCCTGCCTCTCCTCTCCTCTCCTTTCCTCTCCTCTCCTCTCCTCTCCTCTCTCTCTTCCTCTCTAAAATCAATTTTTTAAAAAAATGCTACTAAAGGACATTTCAGGGACAAATGGCCAATTTTGAGAAAGGATTCTAGATCTGATTAATAGTAATGCCTCAATGTTAAATTTCCTGATTTGGCTCACTGTACTTTGTTATGTAAGAGAACTGTCCTCTTAGGAATTAAACACTGAAGTGTTTAGGGGCAAAAGGAATGATATCCTCACCTTAATCTCTAATGGCTAAGACAGAGAGAGACTAGCAAATCCAAATGGGAACACGCTGACCACCGAGGAACCGGGGTGAGAGGCTTGCAAGAGTTCTCTGCAGGACGTCTGCAGCTTTTTGCTCGTTAGAGATTATTACCCCCAAATGTTTAACTATCTTATTTAGTCCAAGCACTGTTTTCTTAGCCAGGAAATGATGGTGAACGCAGGGAAAGCTCATGGCCTACCATCTAGTGGTCGCAGACTTGATATTCTGGTTTCTAAGCATTTCTGAACTCCAGGAGTAGTGTTGAAAAGTCCATTTTAAGATGTCCTGTGATCAAAAAAAGAAAACAGTCCTGCATGGACATACAAGTCCCTATTTGCTTCATCTCGCTTTTGAGCTTCATTGAATTCTTGGTGAAATGTCTCACCCAAGAAAATATTATTGAGTCACTAAATAGTGCGGTAAGGTCAAAAAAGGCTTCTTTCTCTTCCTCCCTCTGAAGCCTTCTGCTTGGGCTTTTCCCTCTGGCCCTTCCCCCTCAAAGTGGATCAAATAACTAAACTCACATCCATCACGTCCCTGGCTGACAGTTTTTTCGGCGCCCGTTTTGGGGCTTTCAAAACAAACTGCAGGGGGAGGGCCTGGGTTAATATTCAGAACTCGGCTCCGGGGCCCGCTCCTGTCGAATTGGCATGACAATGGGAGCCGTGGGTCCCAAAGGGAGGCCGACAAAGGAAGACAAGTTTTTACTGCTGGAGCCATCTGCCAATTCTCTCCGGCGCCTTTGCAAGGACGGAGGGGATGGCGGCAGCAGCTGAGAGGGGCCTGCAGGGGAGGGCACGAAAACCACGCCGGGAAAAGCCACTGCAATATGAAAAGAACCGAAGAAGAAGAAGGGCGGCGCTGGACAGATGAATGGAAGGCCTCCCAAAGCCCCTCCTCTGAACAGACCCAGCGGCCTCCGCGGGGCTTTTGTCGGTTGCCAAGCATTGCAAATGTCATCGTCAGAATATGTTATTAAGGGAGGGAGGGTTTCATACACACAAACCACACAAAACGCCTCCCCAGAGGGGTCTTCTGATTACCCACGTGGAACCCCCAGGCCACCTGCCTTTGCAAAGATTATACTGGGTTCTTATTCTTTAGTTTGCAAAATGTCCTAAACGCAGTGGTTTAGCAATAACAAAACAAGTATTTCTATACCCGCTCTAAAGCCCCCTTCTCCCAGAGACTTGCAAATTTTTAAGACCACCAACTACGAAAATCTATTCAGTGCACTAAAACAAAAACACTTCATGCCCTCAAGGAATTTTGTCAAAATTTCAAGGGGGGGGGGGGGGGGGAGAAGGCCAAAATATATTCCTCTGACATTTTTCCCAAAAGGAAAATTCTACTGAAAACCCAGGAAGACTAAAGCGCTGAACAACAGCAGGTCACGCCAGGCCCAGGGACCAGCTCCTCCTGCACCAGTCTTGTCTCTTTCAGAATTCCCCCTTTCCTGCAGGCGGGCACAGCTCCCACCGCCTCAAGCCTCTCCTAAAACATCAATCCCTGGATGGGATCAGTCCTTAGGGGACTGCAGACAGGAACCTCTCTCCTTTCTGAACACAGCCTCACAGGAAATCTACTCTAGGACTGGGAGTGGGAAGCGGAAGTCCACCTTGGTGGATAGTTTTGTGGGGTCTGGGGTGGATTTTAAATCCCACCATTTACCACGCTGGTGTCCGGCCCGGGGCTAACGACTGAAAGCTAGCTCCCGTTCTCTCTGGGTCAGACTACAGGCTCTCCCCGCTTCAGTTCTAAGGACCGAGGAGATGCCAGTGAAGAAGTCCTCACAGATGCAGTATTTAAGTGACTCTGGTGCCTTTTAAGAAAATGAATGTGGCTCATCTTGTATGTCCACAAACATTCAATGTAAAAATATACAAATAAATAGATTAACAGAAACCAATGCCGCACAGTTGTAACATTGGTTTTGTGGTGTTGAAAGAGTGGCTTTTAAAGCTGTGTGGCTTCATTGGAAACGGATGTAGGGCCAAGTTCCCAGCTCCCCTCTGGAGCCAGACCCCAGAAGGGTAAGGAACTAGCGGGCCGAGGATGCCAAATGCACAGAATTCAATTCCAGGTTGTGGATGCGCAAGTCAGCCCAGAGGACCCCCTCTAAGAGGGCCTGACCACCTGGGGATGCAGCCCACATCTCCCCAGGCCCCGGGGGACACGCTGGCCTCCTGGTACCAGCAACTGAGTGGCTGTCCTGCCACGCGGCGCCCACACCCCCGCCAGCCCCAGGCCTTGAACTCTGCTCCCTGACTGTCAGCGACCGATGATTGAGCCGCAGCCCTGCAGCCCAGGCCGGGCGGCAGGAGGCGGCCCCAGGGGAGCCCCGGCTGACCTCTCACTGTGAGCCGGCTGTAGACCTGGGAGTTGACTTCCTTGTCCCGCAGGTAGCATCGGATTTCCTCCACCGCCTCTCGGATGATGGTGACGGCCAGCACGAAGCCCTGCGGGGAGAGGGGACAGAGTGAGACCTGCTGGAACCCACCTTCCTCTCCTGGGGCCGGGGACAGAAAAGGCCAGAGGGCAGCAGGGCAGGGCCTAAGGGTCCCAAATGCACATGCCCAACAAACCCACTTCTCTGAGGGTCTCCTACACACACACCCTGGAGGAACACCCGTCAACACGCAGGCACAAGGACAGCCCTATTCACCACCTCCTAGTCTCAGGGTTTCTGAGAGTAAGAAATGTCGAAACACCCACACTATCCATCCACAGACAATGGCTGGAGGGTGACCACTAACATCTGAATCTCGCTCGCCATGAGCTGGGCTCCTTTGAAGTGCTTTCCTTCCATTAGTGCATTCCACCCTCACAACCACCCTATGTACAGATTCACCATACGAGATCACTGTGCTACAGATAAGGAAACTGAGGCACAAAGAGGTTGAATAATAAAACTCTTAGGAATTTTATATACTATACACACACACACACACAGTAGAGGCTCGGTGCACAAATTCATGCATGGGTGGGGTCCCTTGGTTTGGCCGGCAATCGGGGCCAATTGAGCTGTCTCACCCAGTCCCCATAGGGCCCGCCGGATGGGGGCTGGGATTACGGGAGGTTGGCCAGCCACAGGAGGTTGGCTATGGGAGTGCACTGACTACCAGGGGGTAGCTCCTGCGTTGAGCGTCTGACCCCTGGTGGTCAGTGCACATTATAGCTACCAGCTGGTCGTCCGGTCGTAATGGTTGCTTAGGCTTTTATATATATAGATATACTAGAGGCCTGATGCATGAAAATTCATGCAAGAGTAGGCCTTCCTTCCTCTGGCTGCCGGCACCAGCTTCTCTCCAGCACCTGGGACCCAGGCTTCCCTCCTCCAGCTGCTGACAGGCACCTGGGACCCGGCTGGCTTCCTTCTGGCCCCGGCTTTGTCAGGAAGGGCGTCTGGAAGACATCCGGTCTAATTAGCATATTACCCTTGTATTATTATAGATAAGCAGGAATTTTGAACACAGGAAATCTGGCTTGAGATCTTAGCAGCCACATTGTTCTGCATCTAGAGAAACTCCGGTGGGTGGAGCCAAGGAGATGGACCACCAGCAGGAGCTAAAAAGAATGAGATACCTGCTGCTTGCATGGACGGGGTCAGCAGGGAAATCAATCCTTCAGGACATAAAATGGAACACCGTTCACAGAAATAACAAAGATTCCATACACTGGGAAAGACTTTCTGCCCTGGCCGGTGTGGCTCAGTTGGTTGGGCATCATCCCATGCACTGAAAAGTCGCTGGTTCAATTCCTGGTCAGGGCACATACCCAGGCTGCAAGTTCAACCCTCAGTCGGGGTATGTATGGGAGGCAACCGATTGATGTTTCTCTCCCCCTCTGCCTTCCTCTCTCTCCAAAAAATCAATAAAACCTTTTTTTTTTTAAAAGAAAGACTTTCCCATTTCCTTAACTATTGGTTAGATTCTTCTGCTAAGAGGGACAAGGATGGAGTGGGATGGACTGCAGGATGTCTGTAATGTCCTAAATTTTTATAAAGAAACATTATAACGCATTCACAGTGTCAGTAGCAACTAATAAAAAGGAAATGTAAACCTGTCTGATCTTCCTGAGCCAGGCACCCCAACTCACAAACTCCGGGGGAGACTGGTGTGTGTCGTCCACAGCATGGACCTATATCCACCCAGTTTTCCTCTTGTATCCACAAAGGCAAGAACCTGCATCCATTTTTCTTTTAAATATAATTTTTTTTAATTTATTGATTTTTTTTAGAGAGAGAGGTACAGAGAAAAGAGCGGGAAAGAGACAAGGGTTTGCTGTTCCACTTACTGATGCATTCACTGGCTGCTTCTTGTGTATGCCCTGACCCGGATCAAACCCAAAAC